TTAAATTGGATCCCCAGTACCCCCAATAAATAGATAATTTAAAATAAAAACTAAAAAAAATTAAAAGGCTAAAGTTGTAGTTCAGCATGAAGGGTCTGGGTTCGATCCCCAGGAAAAGAAAAGAGAGGAGAGAGAGAAAGGAGAAAGGAGGAGGAAGAGGGAGAGGTAGAGGAGGAGGAGAAGGGGGAAGAGGAAGAAGGAAGGAGGAGGAGGAGAAGGAGAGAACAAGAGGAGGGGAGGGGAGAAGAGAGAGAGGAGAGGAGAGGAGAGGAGTGGAGAGGAGGGGAGGGGAGGACAGGAGACAGAAGCTGAGGAGAGGAGAGGAGTATGAATGGGGAGAGGAGAGGAAGAGAGGAGAGAGAGGGGGAATCAATGTGAAAGTCCCCCCTCACGTGACAATTATTCTAATAGGCACTACGCTGTGTATTTCTCCCCAACAAAGCCCAAATTTATCATCAGGCAATGACATCAGAAATTATAACCCAAACATTAATCTCTGCTCTTTTGTTTGAGAACACATTTCTTCTTATAAAGCTGTTAATTTTATTTATATTAATGGAGTGAAGAATTTAACCATATTTGCAGAATTACATCACCACTGAATTTTAAAAAGTCATAGCTCTTTGCGTTTTTACATTTTACCCGTACTTATTTCAATTTCTTCTTCCTTTCGTTAAATTCAAAAATAAGCAGTATGAACTCTTCATAAAATTGAGAAGAATCTGCTATTGTGAAGTCATGAGGAGGCTTATGTATTATTGGTTAAGTCTTCCATCTTCAAATTAAAATTTGTTATTTAAAGTATAAGTTTTCAGCTCTTTATATCATATACCACCTGTTAGAATTCCAATTGTCAGATGACATATTTTCTTTCTTAGAGAATAACTTTGCTCAAGGAGGTGAAAATTCTGGGGGCTGGGGATGTGGCATCACCTGCCTAGCAGACTCAAGGCCTGAGTTCATTTCCCAGTACCAGAAAAAAGAATGGAAGGAAGGAAGGAAGGAGAGAGAGAAATAAAAGAGGAAAAAGAGAGAGAAGAAAAGAAGGCAGTATTTTTGACATTCAGTAATTTGACTTCTATCTTGATTTGCTCCTACGAAGTTTCAATTAAAATTAGTTGAAGTATATACACTTCTCACTATTATTATTTTTGTGATATTATTGGATATTCATTGCTTGGAACAATAAAATTGTCTCGAGGCATATTATATTAACACAAGAGAATTATTAGATTTATGCATGAGATCTGTTTCTTCTTATCATCTCTTTGAGAAAGAAACCATTATTATTACATCACAACATCCTGAAGGACATGAGTATTCTTACTATATTAATACAGGAAGAGTTTCCTTTTTTATATGAATTTCAATAGAAGATTAATGTGAGATTCTTTGTTGATGCGCTTATTTAATAAGCTAAAAGTAGTTCGGAGACTAATCAAGACTTCTTGTCTTAGTTTACTTATTAAATCACACTAAATAGAAATGGTTCTTATTTTTTAACTATCCAGAAATTACTTCATGTTATAGATATAAATAACACCTATGTTTTGTTCATTGTTTTATGTAGCACTGCCCTGAAAAATGCCTCTTGGGCTGAAATAAAATCAGGCTATTAACTTAAATCCTAATGCACCGTTTCCTAAGCTATGTTCTGAAGAATACTAGTGCTCAGAAAACTCACCTTCACTGCACACATCAGCACACACCTGGATCATGGGAGGTGGGCCTGAGAGACCCTGGCTTCACTTGCAGAGCCTCGTGCAGGTTAAAACACAGTGGGAGTCTCCAGAAGGACATGTACTGTACTCCACATTCCCTACACCTTTCCTGAATATTCCGGTCCACAGGCCACAGTCAATTCCTGTGGAGCTATTTGAAAAGCAGAGTTCTAAGAACACAGTTTTGGAAGTGCACGATATGAAAAATGAAATATCCATTCCTACACCAGTTATCTGATTATCACAGAAATGATCAAACTGAAATGTTTTTGCAAACTAGTTTCTTCCATTCCCCCACCCTCTAACCATAGCTCACAAAAATTAGCTTTCATGTCATCTGATTTTACATAAACAGTGAATAAAATATTCAACATGGCTTAACAGTTGGTTTTTCAGGGGGTGGAACTATCCAAGTCTATCCTCACTGATTTTTCTTATTCCTGTTTGAAAAACTGCAAATAAAGGCCCAGCATAAGAAAGAAATGGAAAAAATAAACACCCAACATAGGAAAGAAATGGAATCCATAAAACAGATTCAAACAGATATCCAGGAGATTAAACACTCCATTGAAAGTGTAAGCAACTTTTTTCTGATCACTTTTTGATGGTAGATGTAAAAGACTCAACTTCAATCAGTCAGCACCCAAGAATCTTTACTTTTAGCAGCCAAACAGTAACAGATTTAGGGTAAAGCAGAAGTCGACACTGAAAATAAATATTTATTCACCCAGGGTATGGTCAGATTTACATGACTATTTTATCTTTATCTATTTCTTTGGGAAGAATAAGCTGATGAATTTTGAAATTCTGTAGATAATTGATTTCATTTACTTGCTAAAAATTGGTTTTCTTTCAAATAATGCCAAGAAGGCACATTGCTTGATTGTGTAATATCTAACATTGTTCATGATAAAGTCCCTTATGGGAAATACAACTTAAATTTTAAATAATATGCAGATTATAAGCCAACATTATTGTTAAATTTTTAAAGGCAAAATATTCTCAACTTTTACAAACTTTAATATGTATACTAAACATATTAAATAATTTCTGAACAATAATGAGCTCCACAAAAATAAATTTAAATTAGTTCGAGCAACCTGGCCAGCATACACTGATATTAACAAGAACAGCAATGCTTTATGAATTGTTTAGGTTTCTATCCACATAGACTGCCAGTGTTTAAATGATTTTTATTGGAAACTTTCAAAGGTACATATTTTCCAACTCGCTTTGTAGAAAACACTCATAAAGCTAGCCTTTTGTAGGAGTGTCCTCAGAACCCACCCGCCCCCAGGTGTCTGTGCTTGATCTCTGCTGCCTGTCTGCTGGATTTCCCCGGATACTGAGCTTTCATGGCCCCCAGCCCTGCCTTCACAGGCAGCTCAGATGTTCTCCTGCCTTCTGGAGTGCAGCTCCATTTTCCACTTTGTCTTTCACAAGTTAACCAGAGGTTTGCCTTAGGCATCAGCTACAGAGCATTGTTCAGGAGCTGTGTGAGAGGTATTTCCTCTAAGGAGACTGTTATTTTTCCCCCTCTTCTAGATTTATATTTCTGTTCAAGATAGAATTGGGCCTGTGGAATGTCTGACCTTCCAGAAAGTGAAATGTTAATACATCAAATCACTTCAAAGAATAAGAGATCATATTCACTTTGTACCCTCGCCTAAGGCCCTCTGTATTTACTTGCAAAATTTCCTGTAGGAGATTGCCAGGGACCTCAGGATCTAATTTCACAGCATGGCAACTCTTTATTCACGTATTTATTAAGTCCCTATCTGGTTCCAGAGAGTTTTTTATGACCACTAAGCCTTTACACTCTGTGAATGTGAATCTCCCTTTTACATTGAAATGCATCTCAACTCCCTCTCTCTCCCTCTCTCTCTCTCTCTCTCTATATATATATATATGTATACACACACACACACACACACACACACACACATGACCTCTGGGTATGTAATTAGGAAGAAGGCCGGGGATTTAGCTCAGTGGTGCTGCTGCCTGCTTCACAAGCCTAAGGTCCCAAGTTCGATCCCTGGTATCAGAAAATAAATAAATAAAGTAATGAGGAAGAAACTGTTTGAAACTAGTCTTGGGCTACAAATTTCATATACATTATAGTTTCTAATCCTAGAAAAGCCTCCACATTAGGTATGACTGTTCCCTGTCTTACAAGTTCCCTGAGATTTGGAAAGGTTAAACAAAACCCCAAAATTCTGTTTAAAAGTTGCAGAGAAAGAATTTTCACCCAGTCCTTTCTGATTCAAAATCCCCAGTTAGTTCTGCAATATTCAATCTGTCAACACAGTCAAAACGCAAACTAGCCTGTGGCATTACATGTTTACATGTCACCCAGAGCAGCTGTCCACGGTTTGAATTTAAAATGAGGCCCTGCATCCTTTAAGAAAAGGTTATATTTTTAACCCCCCAAAATTATTTAAGACCTTGAGAAGTCTCCAATCCAGTATGCTTCTGTTTTTCCATCTTTCTCAAGCTTTAATATCCTTAACTTCAACTTTGGGCATCTGAACAATGCATTCCCACAAGTTCTGCCTTATTTTAACCAATGTGGTTTTTCTTTTTGCCATTCCGTTGCTGTTTATATCAATCATACCCCCGTTCTAATGCTAACTCTGTGCACAGTAATTTGCAAACATAATTACCCACCTATACCTATTAAACAAGCCATGGACAACCCATTCTACCCACAGTGCAGTGTTTACGTTACATCTGAGTAAACTTAAATGACCACTATTACTCATTGGGAGTTAACTGCTTGGCATCAAATAAAGTTGCTTTTACAACTTCTGTAGTAACAGCAAACTAAACAAAGCCACAAAATTTTCTGGAGTAAACTTTATCCTTACAGCTTAAGTCTATTAAACTTACCACATAAAACATTAAACTATTCTATAGAATTTTTGAATTTTCCTGGTATCACAAGAAATTGTAGTTGGAACACTTGCTAAGCTTTTTACCAATAGGTCAAACAATCTTCCAATATTGAGACAATCACAAGAAAGTTTCAAAAGAAAAGGATTTGTTTTTAAAATGGAGATAACTCGTATCATTTAACTAAATCAAACTGGCCTGTTTTCTAATAATGAAATTTTATGTAGCATTTTGTTTCTTTCAGTAAAGCTACAAAATTCATTAATTTTGGCAAAACACGGAAATAGAGGCTGGCTAGTTCAACATTTCCAATCTGTTATTGCTGCACTTTTACTCGGTCAATTACATTATATATCTGTTTACGTTAAATCTTGCAGGTCTTACCGTCAGTCTCTCCTCTAAATTCTTGCTTAATAAGCTTCCTTTTTCTTGCTTTTCAAAGTCCATGTTGAAAGAGGAGGGAAGGAGAGAGGGAGAGGGGGAGAGAGGGAGAGAGAGAGAGGGAGAAGGAGAGGGAGAGGGAGGGAGGGAGGGGGTTCAGATTCTGTGCAGAAAATGATTTGATGTGCTCACATGTTAGATAATGCTGGACATTCCAAGTTGTGCGAGCCTAGGACACTATCAGAAAGCCCTGGCGATAATTTCTGGTTAGCTAGTGTTTCCATTTATAGATATTCAAACCCCATCAACAGAACACTCAACAGAAGTCAGGCAGCTGGCCTTAGATAATGATAAATGTCACTAAATATAAAAGCAATCTCTTAAATGGGAGAATTATCCAACAGGTTGCGTTCCCTGCACCCAGAAAGATCTATATGACAAAAGCTACATTAAGTGCTGTTAGAGAAGAAAATATATTTAAGATATAGACCTAATAAATCAGTTATTTCGGGACAAATATGATAGTCATGAAACTAATGTTCTTCTTTTACATGGGAAACAAAATTATTACATACGAGATAAAATCCATTTTTCCAATGGGACAAATGTTTTCAGAATTCTTTTTAAAAATAGTACATGGCTTAAAGAAAATTAATTGTTCAGCTTAATAGTAGTTAGGTCTGCCTGTATTTTCTAGCAAAACTGATATGTAGTGGCAACAAAAGAATAAAAATGTCATTTTTTAAAATTTCTTTATTATTACCTACATGGCCGAAACACATCTCTTTGGTGGCTTAAAGTCTCCATCTCTGATAAATGTCCTTTAACACCTTATTTTTATCTTTACTCAAATTTCTTGCCAGTTTTTCCTTCACTACTTTAGAAAGCTACCCATGTGTCGGGAGACACTGTCCTTCAGAGTGGCCTCCGTGGGCTCTGTGGCCAGGCAGGGTTGGTTGCTCCAATCCATTCCACATCTTTGATGCAAAGTTTGAGGGCTTCAGAAGAGAGCATCTGGTGGAAAAGAAACCTAGTCCTGCTTCAGGATGGTGAATTTAGAAGCCATACATTAGATTTATAGGCAAAGGGGCTTCCCTTTTGGGCTCCTTTCTGAATTCCAGAAAAAGTTTGGTACAGTTCCTGGGAAATAAAAGCCTGAAAGGTTCACTGACATGTAAGATTGATATGTGGCACTTGTTGAAAATGTATGGGAATGGAACTTTCAGAACTCCCCTAAGACAAACAAAAGAATGCTATGGCCACATAAAGAAACTCAGTTCTTGCTCTGTGTGCAAGTTTAAGGCCTACAGAAGACACCCAGAATTTGGATAGGAGAAAAAGGAATGGTGTGCATGGTGCAGAGTTGGCTAGGAGATAAAAAGTCGGGAGTGACACAGGAAGAGTGTACAGGTAGTGTGCTGAGTACCTGTAATAGGTGACGACCATCCCAGGAACACCTAGGCTTTTGAAAAACAGTAAATGAAAATAAAAGATCTGAAATATAATCCCTTGCAGTTAGCAGTGTGCCTCAGGGATAGAAAGCACCCCTGGCATGCATAAGACTCAATCCCCAGCATTATAAAATGAAAAGAAAAGAAAAAAGTGCAATCCCTAGAGATCAGTCATCAACAAACTCACAATGTGGGCATAGATAAGGACATAGGGACTTGTAGACAGCACACTTCCTGAAACTCCCCATGTCCCAGTTATGGTTTGGAATTTCTATATTATTTCAACTAATTCTTAAAGCCACTCTAAAAAGTAACAACTGTTATTTTTCCTATCATCATGGGCTGGACTGTATCACCCCCCAATTCACATATTGAATCTCTAATTCCCCTACACATAGAATAGCACTGCATGTTTTCAGGTTCCTTAAAGTAGTAGTCAAGGCTAAACAAGGTCATTAAGAGGGGCCCTAGTCCAGTACAATGTATGTCTTCAGAAGAAGAAGAAATTAGGACACCAGTCTTTCTCAGGGGAAAGACGATGAGGAGACTCAGTGAGCAGAGCTGTCTATGTACAGCAAAGGCTTTGAAACACCTTGATTATGGGCTTTTGTCTTCCAGAAGAGTGAAAAAATAAGTTCTGTTGATAAACCACTCAGTCTGAGCTGGGCATAGTGGCACAGGCCTAAATCCCAGCACTCTGGGAGCCTGAGGTAGGAGGATCACATGTTCAAACCCAGCATGGGCAATTTAGCAACTTAATGAGACCCTCAAAAAAGTCTTAGAGAGGAGAAGGGAAGAGATGTAACTCAGTGAGAAGGCTCTGGGTTGAATCCCCAGTACCTCAAAAATAAATAAACAAACCACTGGGTCGGTGGTATTTGCCATGATAACTCTACAAAACCCATTTCAGTAATGAAAAAACAAGACTCAGCTACACACAGCAAATGACAGTGAGTCCCCCAGCCTGAGCTTCTCTCTGGCCACTGCAGAGGTTACACTGTGTACTTCCAGACAAACCATTTCATCCTAGATATCACAGGACAAGCAGGTAAACTGCACCCACACTGCACACAAATACCACACACTCTACCCATCCTCGGAGATGTGCTTCAATGTGATTTTTATATCATTGAGGGACAGGAGCTTTTTCCTTAGGTAAATTATACCTAGGCAGAGGTTGGTTATTTTCCACTAGCTGTAAAATAGAAAACAAGTTGGCCCCACCAGTCTTCTTTCTGTTTGTCCATCACAGACACACAGTCTTCCGTTGGGGTCTTTCTTCCTGAAGCTTCTTCCCCAGTGACTCCATCCAAGATGGCAGACTCTCCCGCCCCGTCCACTCATTTGCTGTTTTCTTCTTCATAGCCCTTATCATCTTTGGCATTAAATTATTTCTCATTACATTTAATTTTGTTCATATCTCCTTATTTGTAGTTTGTCTTCCCTGCTAGAGTACAAGCACTAGAGTGTACCTTATTCATGACTTTATTCAAGCACTTAGAACATAGCAAGGATAAATACTTATAAAAGACACACAGTGGGAGCAAAAGGGCAGAAAGAAGAAAATGACCAAAGGAAGAAAGGAAAGAAGAAAGGAAGGGAGGAAGGGAGGGAGGGAGGGGAGAGAGAGTTTACCAAATGAGAGTTAAGACATTTAATAATACATTGTTATAAATACTTGGTTGGAAACAGGATGATAATGTATACTTACCCAACATAACCCATACTACTGATTAATACCATAGTAATTGTTCAAGACACTGATTTTATTCAAACAACTGTTACTAAAAGAGAAACAGAGTTAAGAAGCAAATAGTTCTTGTATTCATTTGCGAATACTTGCGCTTTCTGTTTTCGTCACTTCAAGCACATTACTTTATTCTTAAGCATTTCTGTTTCTTTCTGTTAAATGAAAACAGAGCAAACCTCCTAGTGTTATTGCAACAAGTGATTGTAATAACGTGCACAAAGAACTTAGCTCCTGTCTGACATCAAACAAGCCATCAGTAGGCTAGAGTAACATTGATCTAGAAAACATTTACTGCAGAGATAGAACCAAAGTCCTAGAAAACATGGCACGGAAATTAATAAATACATTCAAGTCATTTCCCTGATAGAGGACACATATCTACAGTATATAAAGAATTGTATCCAGAATAAAAAATAACCCACTCAGAAAACATCTCATTGTGAGCTATTTATCCAAAGAAGACAAATGGCCACATGAAAAAAATGTTCATTGTAACAGTGATTAGGGAACATAAGTCAAAGCTGTGAACTAAACCCTTCAAAAATACAAGGTTACAAACGCTGGCAGTGACACAGAGCATCTGCAGCCCTGACACCTCACCCTGGACATTGTAAAGCAGTAGAGACCCTACAGAAGACAAAGCAACAAATCCTCAGCGCAGTGTCCACAGAATCACCATGGGACCCAGTGTCCCACTTCCAGGTTCACCAAAAGAGAAGTGAAAATGTTTCCACACCAAAATTTCTGCAAAAAAAAAATGTTCATGAAGGGATTATTCGTAGTGGGCAAAAAGGGGAAACAACATGTCTATCAACCTGTGAATGGAGACAAAGGTGTTTACATCATCAACACAATGGAATATTATGCAGTAATAAAAAGGAATGCAGTGTTATTGAACAAGCACATGGAGGAACCTGCAAAATACAACAGTGAAGGCAGCCAGTCACAGAGGCCACATAATACGTGATACACTTACAAGAACTATTCAGAATCGGCAAATTCTTAGGAACACAAAGATCATGCCTGCTTTCCAGGGTTAGGGATGGGAAGGCCGAAGAGGAGTGACTGCTAACAGGTACACTGCTTCTTTTGGGGTAAGGAAAGTGTCCTGAAGTAAGATACTGAGGATATTTACACACCTCTGGGAATACACTCAAAACCAGTGGATTTTATGTACATCTGAAAATGGTGGGATTTATGGAATGTGAATCATATATCTCAATAAAGGTAGCTTTTAAATTAAAAGAGAGATATCCATATTTTTTTTTTCTAGGCTAGAAATTCCTTTTCTTTAGCCAAGGATACAATGTGTACAATGGGTTTCTCCAAACAGGAAATTAAAATCTGTGCTGTGGGACGAAGCAAGAACCCCTTTCAAAAGCAAAGCAAACCGACCCTTGGCAAGGGGCCCTCCCTTGGAGACCTGGCTCCACTCCTCTGTAGCAGCACCACCGGCTTCCCGAATAAGTAGCTTGCACCCTCGTGCCTATATTAGAAATGGGACAAAAGTAAAGTCTGCAGCTACTGAAACTGCTTGTTCAGCGCCTGGGCCATTTTCATAGTGACTTCCCCACTCCTGCCATTCAGCGAGCTTTCTGTTGCTCTCTGCAACAGAAGCACAGAATCGTCTGCTGCAATCCCCAGAGACAGACAATGCACCCATATGGTGTAAAGAAGAAAAGCGGTTTGTCTTTGAAAGAAGGACGGTCTGCAAAATCTGGAGAAGGCTGAGCTGGGATCTGTATGTTCCCAGGATTGGCACCTTCTTACTAAGACAGGGCCAGCTCTGAGACAGCCATTGCTTTCACATGGGCTGTTCATCTCTCCACATGGCCTGTCCAGGATGTGGACGCCATCTGCTTTCCGTGAGTTCAGTGAGAAGCCATGTAGCCTGTGTGCTCATCTAGAATGGAGCAGATGCTGTGCGCAGTACACACCTCTGGAGGCCGTTCCCTCTCCCAACAAACT